CATGGGCCATGAAACGGACCGTTAATGCGACAATATCAGAAGTTTAGAGACATCATTATGCCTTTAAGACAATTCCTGTAGAAGCAAGATATTCTGCCTGCAAAAAATAGAACTGAGAGCTAAAGAACCGCAATCGTTCCCAAATAAGGCAGAGTGAATCATGGCATTCCCTCATACACCCTCTGCATGAAGAATTATGCGCAAGTCCAAGATAAGTTCTGTGTGATGGATGATGCAGAAACTGGAGAGAATTAACATCTTTCATAACATTTGGATAATTTAAATTTAGTAGTTCCAATCAATGACAATAGCTAAATGTGTATATCGTACACCGCCCAATATAATAAGCTGACGTTTCAGAGCAACAATAAAGGAAGCACAACGTAACTGCATGTCAGTCAAATTAATTCGTCATTGTCGATGACCTGCAGTTGTTCTTTGGTCTTGAACGATCGCAATTAAATCCACGGTCGCGATGACTCCAATGGATACACGAATCAGTACTGATTCCTCGATTTTGAAGGATAGGTGTTGTCGTTTCCTAATCGATACTGATATTTTTCCCTTATGATAAGTGATCGTTAGTTATCAATTATACCATGTGGTAGAATAACTGACTTTTTCCCGCAGTTCACTTTGACAAATTTTGGACTTTTGACTTGCGTTCATCCTCTGAGTGCTTGCTTGAAACTATTTCCACCATATCAGCGTTCTTTGCCTGATGAAGTGATGACGTTTCTTATCAACAAGGATGCTACTTGTTTTATCTATGTAAAATGTGCCCCAAAAGGGAGTTTCTACACTAGTCTTGCGCTGTTCCACAGGTATTATGTGGCTTTCTCGTGGTTCAAGCAAAAGACGTTGTTGCACATGGTTTGAACATGCGGCTAAGACCGGCATAAAAGAAAATACGCTAACGTAAAATAAATCGTAACGCTTCGTGTAATTGACAAATGATCGTTAAGATATGAAAGATATTGACTAGGTGAAGAGCAGAAAGCAGGGTGTCTCGGTTCGTTCCAAACATTCGCCAACACGATTCGCAAACATCCTTGAAACGTATTCTTCGTTCTCACTGAAAAAGAGTGTTAGCGAAACGTTTCCTGGCGCTGTGCAGATGACTATAAGGAAAACAGTGTAACTGATTATGAGCATGCACCTTCTTGAGGTACACCATGATCGATCAACCTTGCCGATGGCATGACATAAATGATTTGTAACAAGTCGACAGAGAGAGAGAAGCGGAGTCCAGTCATGAATCTGCCTCGCATCTAAGCTGAATGCAAGAAAAATTCACTGATTGTACAACATGCTGTCGCAATTAACTAGAACTGCATTTTACGGGAACAACGAGATGAAAAGACCCACTCAGGAACAAGAATATTTCATTCGTTAGAGATAAAAAGCGTGTATTTAGCGATATCAATCGAGTCTTGGAATTAAAAACGACAGATGACTGAAAAGATTAAACAATCACTAAAGACAAATGAAAACTGCAACATGAATTCAACTGCATGAAAATCATCCGTTTCTTCTGTTCCTGCCCTGAAAACAAATGACCATTGTCCAAAACGTCAGCTCAGTTAGTAAAATCTGAACCTGCAATTTACAACCTAGTGAAATCCTCAACGATATGAACGCTACCATGTCATAAAAATGCAGTATCATATTCAGCCGTTTAACTTGTCCAAAATCAAACTTCCCAGCATTCTACACCGCCTCTTTCAGGCTAGTTACCTAGGGGAAGATAGTTTAGCAGGCCACACTTAATGGTATTGGTCATTTTCAGTGTAATGTGCATTTGACATCATTTTTTTGCTAGAGCAATCCCTTAAACATCACGAACAGTGTTTCAGTAACTGATACTCTATGTGCAACTGCATATTCACTAGTTACACCAATACAATAGTTCACACGCTGAAGTATCTTAGTAACCCATAACGACGATTTATGTCGGTTTACCGCATAATGACCATCGACTTAAAACTATTATCCTTACTATTTTCAAACTTGTTGACTAATGGCTTTCATAAGTTGAAACGATGTCCTATATGATGATCATTTAACTTCTGTCTTGAACAGAAAAACTGCGAAGATTACATTGCGTTAAAGAGTCGTTAAAAGAAGCGGATAAATGACAGGTCAGTGCATACCCGGAGTCATACGAGATCTTTCATCATCAGGATACACACCCAACGAATTTGGATCATATACGACAGGCGAAGCTGACTGAAAGCACAGAGGATCATCACGAG